CTGCAGTCCTGTTCCAGAATTTGAGTTTTGCGTGTGCATCCATTTGACAGATCTGTATGCAGACTGTTGGTTCCTTGCCTCTCAGGCAGATGCACTCCGACTTCGAAGGAAGCTCCCAATTAGTCGACTCTTATGACATGCTTTTGGGTAGGCAGTGGGTCTATTCTTGTTTTTCCCCGGAACCCACACGGGGAATCAGCAATTATGAAAAGAGAAAAGGAAAAACAATTGGGGATAATGGCAGTGCTGTTTTCACTTGATAAAAGGTGAAATGACTTGGCCATCCAACTCGGCTACAAACAGACAGTATATCACAATTTTGTAGTACCAATTTTTTTTGTTTTGTTCGCCCTATCTCAGGGAATCCAAGAGTTCGCAGGGAAAGTCCAATATCAGTATGGTGTTAGGGTGTGAAGTAAGCAGCGACTAACTAACCCTAAACCCCCATAATACTGGACTTTTCTCGGAAACTCTCTGATTCCCTGTGATGTGGTAAACTAAAATGAAAGTACCCTAACTTCTATATTGCGATTTTTAAATTACCAATAGGGTTAGTCTTTTTTTTTGGGGGGGGGGGGGGGGGGGGATGTAGCACTGGGACAATAATTTTAGGCATCATTTTTTTCAAGGCTACTATAATTGACACTTTGTGGCAAATTCTGGCACTTTTTAGATAATTTGTAGTGAGTACTAGCACATTTTTAGACACTTTGTAGTGAGTCCTGGCATATTTGTAGACACTTTGTGGTGAGTCCTGGCATATTTGTAGACACTTTGTAGTGAGTCCTGGCATATTTGTAGACAATCTGTGGTGAGTCCTAGCATATTTGTAGACACTTTGTGGTGAGTCCTGGCATGTTTGTAGACACTTTGTGGTGAGTCCTGGCATGTTTGTAGACACTTTGTGGTGAGTCCTGGCATGTTTGTAGACACTTTGTGGTGAGTCCTGGCATATTTGTAGACACTCTGTGGTGAGTCCTGGCATGTTTGTAGACACTTTGTGGTGAGTCCTGGCATGTTTGTAGACACTTTGTGGTGAGTGGCATGTTTGTAGACCTTTGTGGTGATGTTTAGACACTTTGTAGACACTTTGTGGTGAGTCCTGGCATATTTGTAGACACTTTGTGGTGAGTCCTGGCATATATGTAGACACTCTGTGGTGAGTCCTGGCATATATGTAGACACTTTGTAGTGAGTCCTGGCATGTTTGTAGACACTCTGTGGTGAGTCCTGGCATGTTTGTAGACACTTTGTGGTGAGTCCTGGCATATATGTAGACACTTTGTAGTGAGTCCTGGCATGTTTGTAGACACTTTGTGGTGAGTCCTGGCATATATGTAGACACTCTGTGGTGAGTCCTAGCATATTTGTAGACACTTTGTGGTGAGTCCTGGCATATTTGTAGACACTTTGTAGTGAGTCCTGGCATGTTTGTAGACACTTTGTAGTGAGTCCTGGCATGTTTGTAGACACTTTGTGGTGAGTCCTGGCATATATGTAGACACTTTGTGGTGAGTCCTGGCATATTTGTAGACACTCTGTGGTGAGTCCTGGCATATATGTAGACACTCTGTGGTGAGTCCTGGCATATTTGTAGACACTTTGTAGTGAGTCCCTGGCATATTTGTAGACACTTTGTGGTGAGTCCTGGCATGTTGTAGCACTTTGTGGTGAGTCCTGGCATATATGTTAGACACTTTGTGGTGAGTCCTGGCATTGTAGACACTTTGTGGTGAGTCCTGGCATATATGTAGACACTTTGTAGTGAGTCCTGGCATGTTTGTAGACACTTTGTAGTGAGTCCTGGCATGTTTGTAGACACTTTGTGGTGAGTCCTGGCATATATGTAGACACTTTGTAGTGAGCATCTGGCATGTTTGTAGACACTTTTTGTGGGTAGAGTCCTGGCATATTTGTAGACACTTTTGTAGTGAGTCCTGGCATATTTGTAGACACTTTGTGGTGAGTCCCTGGTTTGTAGACACTTTGTAGTGAGTCCTGGCACTTTGGGTGCATATATGTAGACCTTGTGTGTGAGTCCCTTTGGTGTAGTAGTCCTGGCATATTTGTAGACACTTTGTAGTGAGTCCTGGCATATTTGTGACTTTGTGGTGAGTCCTGGCATATTTGTAGACACTTTGTGGTGAGTCCTGGCATATTTGTAGACACTTTGTAGTGAGTCCCTGCATATTTGTAGACACTTTGTAGTGAGTCCTGGCATATTTTGTAGACACTTTGTAGTTAGTCCCACATATTTTGTAGTGAGTCCTGGCATATTTTGTAGACACTTTGTGGTGAGTCCTGGCATGTTTGTAGACACCTTTGTGTTAGTCCCTGGCATATTTGTAGACACTTTGTGGTGTTAGTCCTGGCATATTTGTAGACACTTTGTAGTGAGTCCTGGCATTTGTTAGTATGATTTGTAAGACACTTTGTAGTGAGTCCTGGCATATTTGTAGACACTTTGTAGTGAGTCCTGGCATATTTGTAGACACTTTGTGGTAAGTCCTGGCATATTTGTAGACACTTTGTAGTTAGTCCTGGCATATTTGTAGACACTTTGTAGTGAGTCCTGGCATATTTGTAGACACTTTGTGGTAAGTACCAGCATATTTGTAGACACTTTGTAGTTAGTCCTGGCATATTTGTAGACACTTTGTGGTGAGTCCTGGCATATTTGTAGACACTTTGTGGTGAGTCCTGGCATATTTGTAGACACTTTGTAGTGAGTCCTGGCATGTTTGTAGACACTTTGTAGTGAGTCCTGGCATGTTTGTAGACACTTTGTAGTGAGTCCTGGCATGTTTGTAGACACTTTGTGGTGAGTCCTGGCATGTTTGTAGACACTTTGTGGTGAGTCCTGGCATATTTGTAGACACTTTGTAGTGAGTCCTGGCATATTTGTAGACACTTTGTGGTGAGTCCTGGCATATTTGTAGACACTTTGTGGTTAGTCCTGGCATGTTTTGTAGACACTTTGTGGTGAGTCCTGGCATGTTTGTAGACACTTTGTGGTGAGTCCTGGCATGTTTGTAGACACTTTGTGGTGAGTCCTGGCATGTTTGTAGACACTTTGTGGTGAGTCCTGGCATATATGTAGACACTTTGTAGTGAGTCCTGGCATATTGTAGACACTTTGTGAGTGGCAAGTAGACCTTTGTAGCATGGCATGTTTGTAGACACTTTGTGGTGAGTCCTGGCATGTTTGTAGACACTTTGTGGTGAGTCCTGGCATGTTTGTAGACACTTTGTGGTGAGTCCTGGCATGTTTGTAGACACTTTGTGGTGAGTCCTGGCATGTTTGTAGACACTTTTTTGTGGTGACACTTTGTGTCCTGGCATGTTTGTAGACACTTTGTGGTGAGTCCTGGCATGTTTGTAGACACTTTGTGGTGAGTCCTGGCATATATGTAGACACTTTGTAGTGAGTCCTGGCATATTTGTAGACACTTTGTAGTTAGTCCTGGCATGTTTGTAGACACTTTGTGGTGAGTCCTGGCATGTTTGTAGACACTTTGTGGTGAGTCCTGGCATGTTTGTAGACACTTTGTGGTGAGTCCTGGCATCCTGGCATGTTTGTAGACACTTTGTGTGTGAGTCCTGGCATGTTTGTAGACACTTTGTGGTGAGTCCTGGCATGTTTGGCTTGTTTAGACACTTTGTGGTGAGTCCTGGCATGTTTTGTAGACACTTTGTGGTGAGTCCTGGCATGTTTGTAGACACTTTGTGGTGAGTCCTGGCATGTTTGTAGACACTTTGTGGTGAGTCCTGGCATGTTTGTAGACACTTTGTGGTGAGTCCTGGCATGTTTGTAGACACTTTGTGGTGAGTCCTGGCATGTTTGTAGACACTTTGTGGTGAGTCCTGGCATGTTTGTAGACACTTTGTGGTGAGTCCTGGCATGTTTTGTAGACACTTTGTGGTGAGTCCTGGCATGTTTGTAGACACTTTGTGGTGAGTCCTGGCATGTTTGTAGACACTTTGTGGTGAGTCCTGGCATGTTTTGTAGACACTTTGTAGTGAGTCTGGCATGTTTGTGGTGAGTCCTGCATGTTTGTAGACACTTTGTGGTGAAGTCCTGGCATGTTTGTAGACACTTTGTGGTGAGTCCTGGCATGTTTTGTAGACACTTTGTGGTGAGTCCTGGCATGTTTTGTAGACACTTGTGTTGGTGAGTCCTGGCATGTTTGTAGACACTTTGTGGTGAGTCCTGGCATGTTTTTTGTAGATGAGTCCTGGCATGTTTGTAGACACTTTGTGGTGAGTCCTGGCATGTTTGTAGACACTTTGTGGTGAGTCCTGGCATGTTTGTAGACACTTTGTGGTGAGTCCTGGCATGTTTGTAGACACTTTGTGGTGAGTCCTGGCATGTTTGTAGACACTTTGTGGTGAGTCCTGGCATGTTTGTAGACACTTTGTGGTGAGTCCTGGCATGTTTGTAGACACTTTGTGGTAAGTACCAGCATATTTGTAGACACTTTGTGGTGAGTCCTGGCATGTTTGTAGACACTTTGTGGTGAGTCCTGGCATATATGTAGACACTTTGTAGTGAGTCCTGGCATGTTTGTAGACACTTTGTGGTAAGTACCAGCACATTTTGGTGCTGCTCAACCTGGCCTAGCTTGGAATGATTTCCCTAATTGTCAAAGGGGTTAATTTGGTTAGTAACTGGCAACAAATCTATCAAACTGAAAAGAGTATGTGTGGGAGAAAACACATATCACTGTGGCAGGGAACACATTTGCATTCCTGAAATTTCGACCCAAATACACATGACCATGTTGTAAATAAAATGTCAGTAACACCAAAGTTTACATATATTGTAGCTTTTCTCCCTCTCTTTTGTACATGAACAAAAACAAACACAAAGTTAGAACTTTTTTTTAGAAAACTACATCATCAGTTATAAGTAAGTGCTGAAGAAATGTGACAGAGAACACACAAAAACACCCATCAGAACTGTGTAACACTGGATGTAAAAAAACAAAAACACTGCCCACCAATATAAACTGCCCAGTGGGAGTACGCTCCACGAGGAAACTCGATCAAGTCGCCAACAGACAGGTCATCCAAAATTGAGGCATTATGGTTGTAGTAGAGGCTAAGCTCTGTCATTGTGAATGATGTGGCAATTTATTCTGTGGAGAAATTATGAAATTATACATAATGAAAATATATATATATATATATATATATATATATATATATATATATATATATATATATATATATATATATATATATATATATATATATATATATATATATATATATATAATGAACCAAATATTGTAGTCAAATAAAAACTTTCTCAGTTAAATAATATACCAGGAGGCAAGGCTATCAATAATGCTTCACCAATGCTAGCTGAATGGTAAAAATACTGAGTTTTTATGCGGGAGAGCCACAGTAAGGGTGTGGATTTTTTTCTGTTGGTGGCCAAAATATAATCTTAATCTGCACAGTCCGTGGTGACAGCACTAGCAATGTGGCCCTAAATAACCAGGCTAAAATAAAAATAGCCATCATTAAATAATAAAAAAAAAAAAAAGAATTGGTAAATAAGGTAGTATTGGAAATGTTGGAACTCTTCCGAATACCTGTCCCAAATTATTCACTGCGAAAAACATCCCTTTGAGAGCCTCATGAGGTTATGTAGTGAAAACATTTAGGCCATCATCATCAGTTTCCACTTCTGCTGTTATTGCTCGATGGATAGCAATTTTTAAGATGTTAAGCTTAGCGCCATGGGAAGGAATAGTTTTCAATCCATTGAGGCGCCGTGGGAAGGAGTATTTGTCGATCCTTTAAAGTGCTGTGGGGAGGAACAATTTTTCTGATCCATTGTTCACATTACCTGTGAATCACCTTGCGGGTTCCCGGGGCCATGTTTGAGGGGGAAAAAAGATTAGATCCACTGCCACCTAAAAAACATGTTGTTAAAGGTGACTAATTAGGACTTTGCTGAAATCGGATCTGCTTGGGCGAAAGGTGCAGATATCACAGCCTAGCTGTAAACCATAACACAATGTGCCAACCGCCCTTTCAAGAGCGAACAAAAAGAAAGAAGATAACCTACCTAAAACCTGACCATTGAGCCTCTCGCCGCTGATATCGCAGCTTAGCTGTTATCTACAAAACTAAGCAAAAGGTGCAGATTTCGCAGCCTAGCTGTAAACCACAACACAAAGTGATAACTGCCGTTTTAAGGGCTAAAAAATTCACCCGGCGGGGAATTGAACACTGATCACCCACGTGACAGGCAGAATACTTACAACTGTACCACCTCAGACTCGAGAGCTTGGTTCACATGAAATTATATAATAATGCGAAGCATAGTGCCTAGTGTTCCTATAACGCAAAAGCATAGTGCGTAGTGTTCCTATTCAATATTTTTAACTATATGACCACTTGAGGCCCTGAATGGGATTTTTTTAAACAGTGAATAATTTGGGACCAGTATTCGGTCATTTTGTTTCAGCCCAAATTAACATGTTGGTTTTCTAGTTCCAGTATAAACAAACCTTTGGGTTGGTGTGCAAGCATTTAGAGTTCTAATGTACCTGTTTATTTTATTAATTTTGCCTCTAGCTGCAATGAAAATTGTTTTCATGCAGTATAAGAAAAATCTGTAATTAATATGTCTGTCTCATTCACCTGAGCACTTATGGGGGCGAACCATTTGCAGTGAAGCTGAAATCTTGACTACTAATATACTACTACTACTGCGGCTGCTGTCTTACTTCTTCTTAGCGTTTACCGGCTGTAAACTCTGGTGGAAAGTTCTGGTCATTCTTCCACTACAAGACTTTGGTCTATTTATAGTACTTGAGTTTTGCATGCATATCCATTAGACAGATCTGGCTTATTTGTCAGATGGTTGTTGCTAATCTCTCAGGCAGATGCACTTGAACATTGAAGAAAACTCCCATGATTAACTCTTTGAGTCCCAGGGGGGGTTTAGCATCACAGGCCCAAGGGGTAGTCAAGAGAGACGTAAAATCGGCGCATCATGCGTTCATTGGGCCTCTAGATAGGAATCTATGAACGTATGATGCGTTCCTTGGGACTCAAAGAGTTAATCACCTTGTATGACATGCTTGCTAGGGAGACAGTGGGTTTATTCTGTTTTCCTCTAAAATTGGATGCGAAAAATAACATACAGCGAACTTGTAATACAATCCTTAGCCACTTAGGGGATCTGGCCAATGCTTGACACTGAGGGGAAAGGCGAGACGGATATGCAATCATATAGATACCGGTACCATCGGAAGTGAAACTCTTCACTTGCTGCTGAAGGTGGGGACAGAGCGCTTATGGGAGTGTTCTAAGTGCTATAATGTCGATTCCTAATTCAACACTCCTTGGCTACTAGAGCTGTTTCCTCCAATACCTTCACTGTTTTGACATCTGGGGCAATAATTCTTTCCTACAGGAAAAGCTGGCCATTGACTGTAAGTGGTAAACATTACACCAGTCGCCTTTACTTCCCAGCATTATCAGGTGTCTATTTTAGGCTGGGTCAATCGGAGAGCCCTTGTTCTTGTAGTCCATGCCAAGTGGTGCTGGTAATAATATCCATCCCCAACCTTCGGTACTGTCAACAAATTCTTTATACATATGTCCCTACAATCTATGATGTCAGATTTTCCCACATCTTCTCTATCAGTCTCCCTCTAGTTCTGATCTCTTCAAACTTTCTCATCATTGCAAGATACTACAACTTTCCCGTTTTCAGGAGTGACCAGAAAATGTAGATTGTCTTCGTCTGTAGCTGGTAATTAGCTCTCTTCCTCTCCGTGTGGGTTCCGGGGCCCCATTGTAAGGGAAAAACAAGAACAGACCCACTGCCTCCCCAAAAGCATGTTGTAAGAGTCGACTAATTGGGAGCTTCCTTTGAAGTCGAAGTGCATCTGCCGGCGAGGCAAGGAACCAACAGTCTGTATTCAAAAGAATGAGATCTGTAAAACTGATGCACACGCAGTAGTAGACGAGCAACCAGAACTTTCCGCCAGAGTGTACAGCTGGTGAATGCGACGAAGAAGAAGTTCTCTTCATTAGTTAACTTTTTTCAGGGTTCCTGGTTACACTTTTTATCCTGTCCCCAGTCAGAAGGATGTGGGCAGACAGGACGATCACAGTAACTGTCAACATTTAGCAGCTGTTATTACTGTATGCAGCACTCTGTGTTGAATGGGATATTTTTAATCAGTAATATTGTCCAGTTGGCGTCTGTGGCTTAGGCGTTGCGAACACGCTTCGTAATGCCGGGTTCGATCCCAGCTGCGGGCCTTGCGTCTTCGTTGTTTTCGACAGTGGTATAAAGAAGCCGACCGTCCTGAAAGCAATGGCAAACTACTGGACGTAAACTTGCCATGAAAAACCACATACAGCCAGCCAACAAATGCTGGGGTTGGTTCGGCAACGTCCTGTAAAGGTTAAGCAACTAATTTTTAAACTTTAATATTATTCATATGTGAAAACAGCAATTAGAACTAATATTCTAAATTATAAACGCCATTACTATTTGTGACTTCTAAAAGCAACTTCGAAAATACACAACATGAATTTTAAAATACAAAACGAAACCATATTACCTAATACCTGCCTTGCACAATGTGTGATTTCTATATTAGTTCCTACTTCCAGGAATGTCGCTGATGAACATAAGTTATAGAGGGGCACCAAACGGTTACAAAGTAACCTGTTGTCCACGGGTGGGGTGGGTGTTCTAATGACGATACAATGTGTCCCAGCCAACTACAGGCTACGTGTAGTGGTCAGGTAAACGAGGACTCACGAATGTCGTTGTGAACGGTTGTTGTCTCTGTCACCGTGTCCTGACCACCGTTCGACTGTCACTGACTGACACTGAAATGAAGTGTGAACATGACAATCAGGGTTGCCAGATTAAAAAAAAACTTCATTTTATGCCAAACCATTACCCAAAATATGCCAGAAAAAATGCCAAAAAAATTTAACAATGTACTCAATTAATCAATCAATCAGGTGCCGTCTCCACTGTGAAGGTTGGCTGCAATGGATCTCCAACAAGTCCTGTCTCTTGCCCTTGATGTACACTCACTCATACTGCTGTTCGTCCATCTCTGGATGTTATCCTCCCACTTGTAACGCTGTCTGCCTTTTGCTCGCCTATCTTGAACCTTTCCCTCTAGGATGATCTTTACAATACTGTGATGTCTTTTAATGTGGCCAAAATATTTCACTTGTCTCTTTTTTATTTCACCTAGCAACTCTCTTTTCATTCTCAATTTCCTCAGTATCTCTGTATTTGATAGCTTTTTTTTCCTTGAAATACGACCTAATCTTCTGTATATCCACATCTCCAAAGAATTGATACGATTTTCCAGTTGTTTGTTCATTGTCCATGTCTCTGTGCCATACAGTAAGGTTGAGAATACATAACATTTGACAATTCTCATTTTTAATGTATTGCTTATTTCTCTTAATGTCAGTAACTTTTGCATGATGTTGAAAATGTTTTTGGCCATCCCTATTCTTTTCTTGACTTCTGTTTCACTTCTGCCGTCACATGTTATTACTTGTCCAAGATATAAGAAATTTTTAACTTGTCCCAATTTCACCCCGTTCACTGTGATATTCATTGTTAGCTGATTATTTTCTTTGCTAAATATCATGGTTTTTGTCTTTTTCAAAATTATATCTAATCCAAATTCTGCACTCCTTCTGTTTACTTGCTCCACTAGGTCTTGCAACTCCTGCTCACTCTCTGCTAGCAACACTGTGTCATCAGCATATCTCAGATTGTTTATTATTCCACCATTGATATGCAGTCCTGGTAATTCTACAATTTCTTTAAAAATGGTTTCTGTACATAAGTTGAAAAGGCTAGGCGACAGCACACATTCTTGTCTTACTCCTCTCTTGATCTCTATCTGGGGTGAGCAGATGTTGTCATATCTTACTGTTGCTTCTTGCTCCCAGTATAAGTTTCTAATAAGTCTGATATCCTTTCCATCTAGTCCTATGTTTTGAAGAGCTGCAATTAGTTGTTCATGTTGCATTCTGTCAAAAGCTTTTTTGTAATCTATAAAACATGCATAAATATTTTTCTGAACTTCTATATATTTTTC